TTGGAATTAATTTAATTTTATGTGCTGAAATTAAATCTTATCTCATAAAGTAGGTAGACGTATGGGGGTGTTATAATGTTAACATAATAATAAAACAGAAGGCGGACTTGTCTAGTAAAAAATTTACGAAGTAGTGAAAATTGAAAGTCATTAGTCCGTCACAAATATTCATTTCGAACCCTCTAGCATACATGTATAAGCCCCCCCCCCCCTGCACACACGTTACATGAAAAAAACATCTAGTATACCGGTACTTGAATATGATTTATAAAAATGTGTAAGTTTTTTGAATGATGCAAATTTCTTTGTCCATTTGATCAATTTATACCCGTAATCATTATTTATTTGATTCAGGTTTCATTAACATCTTTCCTTTTCATAAGATTAATAAGATTATTCGCCAACTGTAGGTGCCCACTATCTTCCGTGACGAGTTACCATTCATCTCTCTCTCTCTCTCTCTCTCTCATTCCAAAAAATCAATATCGACCCAGGCAAAGTTTAAAATTTAGCTAAACTCCGGCTGATATTTTATTTTACTGTCATAATACTGCTGCATATAAATTGTGTTTGATTTTTAATTATTCTTAATTACTGATAAAAAGTTAAGCAAATATACTATGAACTATTTTTTTATTTGATGTGATAATCAAACAAATTCCTCACTCCACTGTCCCACACATACAATATCACGACTGGACAAAAAATATTAGGAACCAGTAATTTTAAAAAACTTTGGATGTAATGTACCCTTTCTCATATATTTATTTTTGCTTAAATCTTTAAAAAGTTTGTGCCTTTCCCCGGTTGGTTTTTACATCAATCTTCTCTTTTTCATTAATCGTTAATTTTATCTTACGTCGGTATATTAAAAAAATTATTTATTTAATCTAAGAAGAGGTTGAAGGATTTTAGATTGCGTATTTATATTATGTTTGTGTTGGTGTTGAATTTCTCAAATTCAAACTGTCTTGTAGAAGAGAGTACCTGTCGCTGTAATGTTGCGCAACTAACTTCCAGTGAAAACCGGCGAGTGTTCTTCTGTATAATTCAGCAGTGACACCTATTGTCTTCTTTACCCGCTACCGTACACACTCGGATCGCCTCAGACGATTTCTTCTACACACAGGTGCTTCACAGAGTTTCCGATTGTATGTTGAATGATTATGTAATTCGGCTGGATACCAGATAAACGACTTGAATAATTTTGGACGAATAAAAAGCACAGTGTTACTGTTAAATCATGATACTGGTTTCGATACCGAACAAAGCTATGAAACGTCGATTTATTAAGTAAATTAAATTTATTAATTTTTTTTTTACCTAAAGAGATAAAAATGAGTACAAACTTAAACAAGACAGTATTAATTGTGTGTTCTACTTTTAGTAAAATAAATAAATAAATCATCGTTCTACATTTAGTTCGCAGGTGCCCCCCCCCCCCCCAATTTTAATTTGAAAAGAAACTAGATCCATGTGAACATCTAATGACACTCTAATTGAAAAGAACAATCATGATATTAATTTCTATCAAAGATTTGATTCAGGAGTATGCATAGACAAAAGATGATAATATAAAATGTCATAGTTTTACATGTATTTGAATGAAAATAACACTTTCAAGTGGGGATCCAGAAAATCTAGATTCAAAAATCAGCTAAAAGATGTACATTATTTCAAAAGAATAATGCGGACAGTAACTAAATCAATGAATGTCAAATGATCAATGATCAATGCAGGCCCGTAGCCCCCCCCCCCCCTCCCCCTGCCAAATGAATACAATAAAAAATCTTTTTATACCCCCCGCAAACGAAGTTTAGGGGGGGTATATTGGAATCACCATGTCCGTCTGTCCGTCTGTCTGTCTGTCTGTCTGTAGACGAGATTTTGTCCGGACCATTACTCAGAAACTATTAGAAGGATTTGTCTGAAAATTTGTACAAATATTATTCACCATATGAAGTTGTGCACCTGCTATTTTCATCTTGATTCGATTATTATTTTGAATTTTACAGGTGTTTTTCCATTTTTATTTTGTGGTTTTGTCCGAACCGTTTCTCAGAAACTATTGCAAGGATTAATCTGAAAATTTGTACACTTATTATTCACCATATGAAGGTGTGCAACTGGAATTTTCAACTCTTTTTGTTCATTTTTTTGCATTTTACAGGTTTTATTTTTTATATTAATTGACTTGTTCATTTTGGGCTCATGTGTAAGGTTTGAGACATAGAATCTAGAATATCTGTACAAAAATACTACAGCTTAAAACTACTCATATAAACTAAAAAAAAGAAACATCATTAAGTGTTAAAAACAGTTTTTACATTGCACAGAAGATAATGAAATTTTATTTATCTCTTGGGAATAATGACTGGACATGCTTCCAGTTAAAGATAAATTAATGAGTTTGGTGTGGGAAGTTGAACAGTAAGGCATCTCATTATCAACCATGTGTAATCTCCTGGGAATCAGGCACAAGAATTAAAGATCTCTCTTCTCTTATTCTCTTAATTGTAATTTATTGTCTGTCAAAGCACTTCATTACTGGATGACCAGCTCTTTATTTTCAAATGAATTTGATATTAAGTTATCAAGATTAATTTGATTTTGTATAATATGATTTTTTTTCAACAATCAGTTTGCAGAGTGACATAACATAATTGCAATATATTTTTAATGCAGAAATAAAAAAATAAATAAAAAAAAATAATGTTACAATGGAATTACAATGAATTAGTATTGATGTTTCATTTGGTTGCACCTTTGTTTCATTCATTAAGAAACATGATGAGCAATTATATTTCACTGCAAATTTTTGTAGGTAAATTAAATTAAATGTAAGTAAGTAAGAACCTCTAGATCCATAAAGTATGTTTTGAATTGGCACCTTCCCTGAAAAACCCAGCGGGGGGTATTTGTCCCTATTGGACAGTTCTAGTTTTAATTTAAATTCCCCCGTCTGTCTTTTAATTTTGGTTTCTTCTTGCAAATGCTTGGATTCGGGTATGTTTGACTGCACAAAAACAAATATTGGCAGCCTCCACATAACTGAAAATTTTACATAATATGAAAACTATAACAAACGCCTTTCCTCAAAAGGGGGCACCCACGGCCTCACCGCGCGCTACGAGTTAATTAAAATTATTCAAACTAATTTGAATAAATTGAATGAAAATCGAATAAAATACATCTAACCTAACAGTTTAATTCTTTAAATTAATATTAAAGAAAGTCAGGGAGTCAATGTTAATTAAGGAAATATTATAAAATGCATGTCATGTAATAACATAAGACCTCTGTAAAATTCCATATCTCACTACTAAATGAAGATTTTTATTTTTTTTAATTTCTTCTTTTTGAAATTTTATCCCTTCTCTTGAAAATATTTTTTTTACAAATCAATTTCCTATAAATCGATCAAAGAAGTTTTTTTTCAAAGATATTATCTGGACATAGTTAAAAATTATATGAAAAAAGAAATAAATGAAATAATAATCTATATTAGAATTAAAAAAAAATCAATTCCACACTACTGCAGCCTCCCCGAGAGCGAGAACAATTGGGACAGTAATTATCAGTAAATGTCAGTACTTGTCTAAGTTTTTCAGCAGGGACAGTAAACGGGTCAGTAATTGTCTAAGTTTTTCAGCACCGACTAAGATTGTCAGCACTTTTCTAAGTTTATCAGCACCGGCAGTAAAAAGGTCAGTAATTGTCTAAGTTTTACAGTAACGACAGCACATTGTCAGTAATTTTCTAAGTTTGTCAGTAAAAAATGAGAATGTCAGTACGTTTTTGACTTAGTAGTGTTTGCAGAGTATCATGACAAATATCTACAATTTATTTTTTCAATGAAATAAAAAAAATACTGTTACAGTGTATTAGTATTGATGTATTGATGATATTGTTTGCTTGCACCTTAGTTTCATTTATTAAAAAAAAATATAATGAGCAATTATATTTCCACTCGAATTTGTTTCTAAGAAAATGGTGAACACCTCTTGATAGATCCATAAAATATTTGTGAATTGGCACCTACTCTGAAAAACACAGTGGGGTTATTTGTCCCTATTGGACAGTTCTAGTTCTAATAGGTGAATGCACAAATCTCTCACTCCTACAGTCTGTGTATTAGAATGTTCTGCTAATAATCATTTTCAAATTCCATGTCCTATTTCATTTAAAGAAAATGAAGCAGACATTGAAAGTCAGAAACATGAGGAAGAAAATCTTTTGGAGAATAATGAGAAGAAAAAAGATGAAAAGAATGAAAGAAATGGTATGTCATGTTGAAGAAAAATATTTTTTTGAACATATTTTATTGACAACATGTCAAAGGGATTGGACACAAGTAAACTTAGATATTCCTCTCTTATATAAAATAGTTTTAGCTGTTCAAAATCAAAAAAGCTTTTTTGGCAAACTGAGACCAAAATGGCAGAATATCCAGCTTTATGTCTTTCTTTGGGTTTTTCTCAAGCTGCTACTCACTATCAAATTGTTTTAAATGTATATTTTGGATACTTTAAAACCTATGATTATCAAATCTTACCAGTTGATGCATGATCTTAAAACTTCAGATGATATAAAAATAAATGCTTAGGTCAGAATGGCCTACCTTTAAAATTATTTAGATATTTCATAAAATTGGTTTGGAATCTTCAAACTTTGTCAATTATTGCATCTGTGGTACTCTTGAGTCTGCATTTTTCAACTCTGAGTGTTTTGAACACTTGGAATAGTATAAGAAAATATTTACAAATTAATCTTTTTCCCTTGATACCATGCTACTTGGATACAATAACTTGGCCAGACTGACACTATGTCAACAGTACAAGTAAGGAAATGATACACTGCTGACATCATGGATACCCACCCCTTTGCATCTCTTTTTTCTCTTAAAAGATGCATATTCACTCTTCATTGTGGAAAATTCATGATGCAATTTGTAAGTTATTCTTTAATTCAATCATTAATATCATGTACTACTTTTGTAGACAGCAAAGGGAATATACCGCCTTTAGAAAATGAAAGTTATCCAACTGAGGAGGATAAACTTTTGGAGTGCAATGAAGAAGAGAATAAACAGAATGTAGAGAATAAAAGGAAAGGTATGTCTAGTTAATGATAAAGAAGATTACATTTGCTCAGTTAGTCGAAATTAATTTTCAAAAAGGCTTTAGAAAGGTAAGAGCAAAACGGCTGTATAATCTAACAAAATATCTGTTTCTTTACAAAGCTGTTTTCGAACTGTTGCTCCAAAAGTTTTTGAACTAGTGGACAAAAAATACAATGAGTCTTTTTCCAACATTTAGAACTTCATGGCCCCAGGGTCAGGGATTCTGGAGTTAGGGTGGTGCTCTATTGATCATATGGAGGAATTGCATAAAAATTCTCTTTCCCCCTGTGTAGTAATCAAAGAAAGTGTGCATGGTAATAATGAGCTGCAGAACTGTAGCCATCTGATTGAGACAATTCAGACAAATAAAGCAGATCGAGAGCTACAGATCCAAGCATAATAAAAATCTTTGATTTACGCCGACAATTTTTTGTAGCTCACTTTGGGTATTTTTACTTGTATTTTATATTTTCCCCAGCTTTAAAAATGGTACATGTATTTAATAATCATACATTTAACTTCAATTTCTGATAATTTACTTACATTTCAATGCAAACAATTGGCTATTTGTAGGCCTTTCAATCAATTTTTCAGGATGGTAAAAAACTTTTCAGAGATTGATTTATAGGTACATTATCAAAAAGGATAATAACTTACACATACCTTTAATTAAATTATTTAAAAGGTTAATTATTTGTAATTGACTACATCGATGTTGTGTTTTAAGGACAGATAACTCAGGTGTGAAAAATAACCAACTTAATGCCGATTTATGAGTTATCGTTTATAGGAATGACATATAGGCTGCTTCAGCATTGGTATTGTTATATATTATGTACACAAAATGGTTCCTTAAATTGTTTTGTACACAAAAGTGTTAACCAAAAGAAGGAGAATGTCTTCACTTTACCTGAAATAACAGGGTCACATGAATGGGGAACAGACTATATTCAACATTTTTAGCTCACCTCAACGAAGTTGGGGGAGCTTATGTAATACCCTCGGCGTCGGTGTCGGTGTCGGCGTCGGTGTCGGCGTCCCGGGTTAAGGTTAAGTTTTTTGGAGCAGTTTTCTTTTTAAGTACTTCTATGACCTATATTGATTAGACATGCATGGAAGATGGTTCTAGTGTCTTTCATTGTACCAGTCAAAGTTTCAGATGCTGCAATTTTAGCAAAGGAATGACCAGGTTAATGTTTTTGGAGCAGGTTAACATTTTTGGTGCAGTTTTTGGTGTAGGTTTCATTTCCAAGTAACTATAAGCCCTATGTTAACCAAACTTGCATGGATGATACATCTAAGGATGCATACTACCGGGCTTGCTTCGGATGCTGAATCTGACCTACTTTTTCCGGTTGAGTGAACAGGTTAAAGTTTTTTGGTGCAGGTTTCATTTCCAAGTATCTGTAAGTCCTATGTTGACCAAACTTGCATGGATGATACATCTAAGGATGGATACTACCAGGCTTGCTTCGGATGCTGAATCTGACCTACATTTTCCGGTTGAGTGAACAGGTTAAAGTTTTTGGTGCAGGTTTCATTTCCAAGTATCTGAAAGTCCTATGTTGACCAAACTTGCATGGATGATACATCTAAGGATGGATACTACCAGGCTTGCTTCGGATGCTGAATCTGACCTACATTTTCCGGTTGAGTGAACAGGTTAAAGTTTTTAATGCAGGTTTCATTTCCAAGTAACTATAAGCCCTATGTTGACCAAACTTGTATGGATGATACATCTAAGGATGGATACTACCGGGCTTGCTTCTGATGCTGAATCTGACCTACATTTTCCAGTTGAGTGAACAGGTTAAAGTGTTTGGAGCAGGTTTCATTTGCGAGTAACTTTAAGCCCTATGTTGACCAAACTTGCATGGATGATAAATCTAAGGATGCACACTACCGGGCTTGCTTCGGATGCTGAATCTGACCTACATTTTCCGGTTGAGTGAACAAGTAAAAGTTTTTGGTGCAGGTTTCATTTCCAAGTAACTATGAGTTCTTTAATGACCAATCTTGCATGGATGATACATCTTAGGATGCATACTACCAGGCTTGCTTCGGATGCTGAATCTGACCTACATTTTGTGGATGAGTGAAAATGTTAGTTTTTTATGTATGTTTCATTTCCAATTAACTATGAGCCTTATAATGTGCAAACTTGCATGGACGATACATCTTAGGATGCACACTAATGGACTTGCTTCGGATGCTGAATTCGACATATATATTTTTTAGATAATAGACCAGGTTAAAGTTATGGTTGCAGGTCTATTACCAAAAAACTTTAAGGCTTTTATAACATTGTATAAACCAAACTTGCACAAATGTTGCATCAAGAGATGAAAACTCAAATTTGCTTTAGATGCTGAATTACATTTTCATGAAGAAGAACTACTTTAAATTTTTTATGTTGGTCTACTTCAAAGTATCAGATCAAAATTGCTTAGATATTTTCATTTTTGGAATGTACATTTTTTGTTGGTTAATTGTGTGACTTTGCCTTATTTAAAGACAACATTCGTTGAGGTGAGCTCTGTAATCTCTGATTACCTATGTTTAACTCTCTTTGACGATTGTTGTAAAAGAGAAAATATAATGTCATGTTTTTTGTGTGTGCACTTTTGCGCTTCCTACATAAACAAATATATTTTTACATGTAAATGCAAGAATTAATTATCTTATTTAATTACTAATCACAAAGAAGAACGACAGAGTATATAAATTATAATAGGTTAGAACTAAGAAGGGGGGTAGAGTTCACTTTTTTAGCTCCTCTGAGCCAAAGGCTCAAAGAGCTAATGCTATGGCCATCTGTGCGGTTTGCGTTAACTTTTTAGAATATGGGTCATAACTCAAGAACCCCTTGGTCAATCAGTGTCAAATTTGTTACAGGGTATCCTTGGCCTAAGGGCTACCATTTGTACTAAAATAAGGGTTGGGACCCTAAAACAAGGGGAGATAATCAGGAAAACAAAACCTAAAGTACTGGTTGCTAAAAAATCTTCTTCTCCAGAACCACCAGGTAGATTTTCACCAAACTTACATACAAGGATCAGGATATGTTGATTAAAAATTGTTCAATGCATGACCCTTGGGCAAAGGGTGTGGTCTCAAGGTCACTTCAAAGTTGACCTAAATTTACAATTAATAAAAACGTCTATATTTTGCTTACTATATAAGGACTAGGATCATCAAATTTTGTAAGTTGATGCATCTTAGGACTTCACATCATGTTAACTCAAAAGTAGGTCACGGTGACCTACTTTTTTAATTTTGCGGGCATTTGTTTTCAAATTGATTTGAAGGCATATTTTGGACACTTTAAGGCCTATGATCATCAAACTTTGTCAGCTGATGCATCTTGGGTCCTTGAACAACGTCAACTTAAAAATAGGTCACTGTGACCTACTTTTGACATTTTATGGCTATATATAGGTATCTTAGGTATTTATTGGCTTAGAATCATCAAACTTTGTCAGTTGATGCATCTTGGGTTTTCAGAAAGTGCGACCAAAAAGTAGGTCACAGTGACCTACTTTTGACATTATATAGCTATATTTAAGTACTCTTAGGTATTTATTGGCTTAGAATCATCAAACTTTGTCAGTTGATGCATCTTGGGTTTTCAGAAAGTGCGACCAAAAAGTAGGTCACAGTGACCTACTTTTGACATTATATAGCTATATTTAAGTACTCTTAGGTATTTATTGGCTTAGAATCATCAAACTTTGTCAGTTGATGCATCTTTGGTTTTCGGAGAGTGCCGACCAAAAAGTAGGTCACGGTGACCTACTTTTGACATTTTATGGCTATATTTAAGTATCTGGTACTTATTGGCCTACATACCTGTCAACATGGCCAAAATTTTTCGGGGGAGAAAACGTGCGACGACCTTTTGCAAATACAAAAAGTCGCTCATTTCACTGTTTTATAGAACAAAAATAAACAACTTAAAAGATTACATTTTATTATTGATATTACCATTATCATTAATTCATAAAATTTACAGTTTATTCATACATAGTTTAGAACAGGGTTTAAACTTAACTGAAATTTCCACGAGCCATGTGGGCTCCTGACATTTCAAATTTAGGAGCCCACTGCTAAATTTGATAGCCCACAGTCTCTGTGCTCTTTTTTTAAAGCATAGATACTGGGACAAAAAGTAGATACAAATGAAATACATATACAAATTCATCTGTTTAAAATTGGAGTTCTTACTTTATAAAAATCAGATTTCATATAAATATTGAATCAAAGGAAATAAAATTGTATTCAATAAACATTTTTACTATCTTTTTCTTTTACTTGGTAATACATGTATATAAATACGTAGCCCTGGTACATGTCTTCAACTGATAAACTGACAATGACACAGTAAGATTTTCTAGGTTAAATATTTTAACTACAGCATATCTAAATAGGTGAAAAAACTTACTATTCATATGACTGAGTAGTTGGGAGTTACCGGGGTATTAAAATTGTATATCTCTCACGTATCAACCATTCACAGAGGGTTGGAGGAAATTCGGATTATGAAAAAAGACGATCGTTTTAGGGAATTTCACAAATCGTGTAGTACTTTAAATGGAAAAGATGAAGGCTATTTACGAACAATAGGACCATACTGTTGTGATTTATTTCATTTTTCTGTAGTTTTAAATCGAAAACCTGCATGAAATGTCTGTTTTTCAGTAAGGTGACTGGGAATGAATTCGGCCCCTGCAGAATTTTTATTCGCCACGTGGCCGAGCAACTTACAAATTTTATGAGCCCACACCAATTTTTACTCGCAATTTGCGAGTGGGCGAGCGTTAAGTTTAATCCCTGGTTTAGAACTTGTACAATGTGATTTAATTTTGAAATTAAACTATTTATTCTGCCTGTCCATAAGAGCATCATTTACTGTGAAATCACTAATTTTCGTGGGGGTTTAATTTTCGTTGTTTTCGTGGTATGAAGTGACCCACGAATTTATATCCACCATGA